AACCAATTTTGATGGAACATTTTAGTTATGCAATACTTCCAAAGAAGGGAAAAGCTCTTACCTAATGTTCTTCGGAGATCTTCACACTGGCTAATATGAGGGAATTTCAAGATTTCCTTCCACTTTTTGCTTTTGCCTTTGCGTTTCCCTCCACCCCCTGCAGAGAAAGAAATATCAGGGTTAGATTGCTTTGGGGGCATAGCCCCACCCACAGTTTACCAGCCCAGTTGCAGTTCTTATGGATACCATTAATAACTGAAGCTGAGACACCATGGGTAGATGTACAGATCAAGTCTGAGCTTGTCTGGACTGACACAGACCAAAGAGATGGCATCTGGCAGAAGACCAGGTTGGTAAAGGTTTGGAGTTCAGATGGGCCCATCAGGTCCAATTCAGGTGACAGTGCTGAACTGAGCATCTCCAACATCATCTCTGACCCAGCCATTTTGTGCGAGTCAAATAATCATGTAAAATTACAGCTCACATTACAACCTGGATCTTCCTCTTCTGCTTTTGGGATGAACCCTGATTCTACCACAAAAGAAGTGCTGAAAACTGAAGACAGAAATTCAATTCTCGCCATCCATCCCTCACGTGACATCTACTGCCAACATGGTATTACCGCTGATGTTACACACTCTAGTCACTGCTGCTTCCACAGGAGAAGAAGAATGGGAGAAAATTAATGTAATATCCTCATGATGAGAAAATATCTTTTTCATTCTTTCTTCCCCTTCTCACTCTTCCCTGAGATTTCTTGAACTGGACTGTCCCCATGGTGAATGACCTAGCTGGCTTCCTCCAGCTCTGGCTGAATGAGGTCCAAGACCCTCAGCCTCTCTCCATGCTGATGAATCTCCCTCATCAATGTCCCTCCATAAATACCCTGCTGCAGGCATCACTGGCATCTCCAGGTGCATCTGAACTTGTAAAGGGGGATGCCTTCTGCAGTGGGCTCTAACCAGTAATGCTAGCGTTTCCAGCATACCTCTCTTCACTCCTTGCTGGGATCACTTGAAGATGCATTGCCTACAGGGTTAGGCTCCCTCAGCCTAAGCAAGCCTAATGCAGGCTGACACACTGTGTGGGCTCTCTCCCAGTGTCTGCTAGATGGGCATTCAGGTCTGAAGCAGCTCAGCCTAAGAAGACATTTTTAGATTTTTCTTGTCTCTTCCACTATCATTGGGCACTTTTTTAGTCCAGCCCTCCCCTGGGTTTCTCTTTTATGCCTCCACATTTTTATCCTGCCACATCAGCATTACTGCAGAGGGCAGGAGGTGGGGTATGGTGCTAGGGTTTTCATTCCTGGCTCATTTGTGTGCCTGTCCTGCTCGGAAAGGCTGCACAGCCACCAGAGAAAGAGTATTCCTCTGGACGTGAAAGCCCAGACGCAGACTGAGATTCTCCGAATCGCTGTATTTACTGCAATTCAGTCCCCGCACACAAAATCTGATTCATTTGAGTCTATTTTACATGCGCTGGCACGTCAAATAACTAATTCACAACTGAATTAATGCTGTAGAGGGACTGGTAGTCACAATTGCAGATTGAGGGTGTGTTGGGTACCACATGATATTTCAGGATGAATTAGGAGAGCATTGACTCAAAAGGCAGCAGACCATTACACAGAAAACATCAGCCTTGGAAAAAATTGCGAAGTATTGCTCTCTGTGGGGCATTTCTGATCCTTCTGCATCTCACCTTTTAGTCCTTTAGGTTCTGGTGACTAGTGGTTTTGTTATTGCAGAGCTTGCCTTGAATTTTTAAATTCCTTATTGACAGGAATTTATTGTATGTCTACATTATGCAATGTAGAGCAGAGATATCTGCACTAGCCATAAAGGAACTAGCTTGTTTAGACTATCAGGAGTACAGCTATGCTACCCTTTCCAGGAATTAGTCTCCAGCAAAGCACAGAGAGCTGTGACTGCCTCCACACTACGCAGTATTATGCAACACAGATGTACCCTTTGGGTCTATAATGAACTCTGCTTCAACTTCCCCTCTTCAGTGCATCCTGAACACTGCTGCAAAAGTAATTTCCTCTCCCATCCCTCCAGCCACAGTATCAGAGAGGCTGTCTTGTTCTCCTCTTGCAGCATACAACCAATGCTTGGTCTTCCAGGCTGAAGGTCTTAGGAATGCTACAAGGCTCTGAGAAGCATTCTGAGGGCTGGCGTGGGCACTGTGATGGTCTGTTCACCAACTTTTCTGGAGCACATGGCTCTGCTCTGGACGCCAGCAACTGCAGGGGTTGGATTCAGCAGCTGGAAGGGTCCTCCACTGGCTCGCTGAAAGCTCACTCCTGCAATCCTCCACAGCTGCTCCTGCCTGCCAGGCTGCCAGCTCCGCTCGCCCCTCTTCTCCTTCTCTCCCAGGGGCCTTCCTGAACACCCCTTGGTGCTCCTGCCCTTATGTCTCATCACACTGTCCTTACACTTCTCTGGCCTCTCACTTTGCATGCTTCTCTGGGGAATGATCCTCCAGTAATTCCCACTTTCTTCTCTTTGCCAGTCATTCTCTTTGGCTGTATTTTCTTCCCTGAAAAATTGCTTTCCTCACACTCATTTATCTTGTAAACTTTGAGTTCTGTGCCTTGATACCAAACCTCCATGGGAATTAAATGAATTAAGTATTTATTTATTAGCCCTGGAGAGTGATAGGAAGGAAGGGAAGGGCAAGGAGGGAGGGAAACAGCTGAGCTGGTGTCAGAGCAGAATGATCCCCCTTTGACAGCCACAGGGTTTGAATCTGGATTTCTGAATCCTTTCCTCGGGCTGCCAGCTCCCAGAGCAGCTCATCCCACCTCCACGTACAAACACATGCCTCTCAATTCTGCCTGCTGCCTCTCCCACTGCGGAGACCCACTCTGCTCTTACCAAGGAATAGACAGAGGAATAGACAGCTGTAAAGGAGCAGGCAGGAGCTCTCTGCTTAAGGTATGAGCAGGCATTGGAGGCAGCATGAGAGGTATGCAGCTGCTTGGGCAGCGCTGCCTGCTAGACCAGGATTTCCAATCATTTCTGGACACAGGAGGCAGGGGGAGTAAGCCAGATGAAAGCATCCTTTCGGCTGTATCTGCTCAACACTCGTATATCTTCACCCATTGAAGGTTTACCCTCTAGACCAAAGTACTGGAGATTTCAGAGGACACCTGCTTCTCCAGCCACCTTTACAAAAGTCCTCACAAAACAGCCGCATCTTTAGCAGCATCAAGCTGTGCAGAGCATTGCAAATAGCCCTTTGCTCTAAATGACAGCTCTGAGATTTGTGCAGACACTAAATGATTCTGCTAACCTGGGCCAGAACATTTTTAAAATCCATTTGATGTGAAATATATATTGATATATTGATGTATCTCCGACATTAAATTTCCATCAAAACTGGAGACGGGCTCTGCAGCCCCCTGTTACAACCATGATTGATACAGCCAGCATGTTCTCTTCTATTTTGTGGCCATCCTCCAAAAATAAGCAGCCTTGCCTGATGAATCATTTGCTCTTAGCTGAGCATGAAGTAGCATTACTGTTTTGCCTGTGACGTCTTTATGTTAAAGATTCTGATGAACTGCTTTAATTGACCTGACCTTTCTGCTCTCAGCTTTTCTTGTGGAGCCAGCAGTGTTTGCTGGCTTGAAACGTTAATTCCAGAGGGTTTGAAGGACATAATGCAGTGAGACAGCTGAGACAGGATAAATTGTCTAGCAGAGCTAAAAGCTAAAAGGGGAGGTTTCTCTGAGTAGGTCAGTAATAGTGCAGGTTGCAAAGGGAAGCTTTTCACACATTGCCTTGATTGCTGCCTTTGCACTGTCTATTCTGAACAGAGGGATTTGCAATCTTCAGGGCAGCTTCTCAGGGCAAGACTTGACAGACATGCCATGTTTTAGATGTGAGTTCCATCAGGTGGCATTGGAGGGTCTGACTGCTTTAAAAACTTGGTTTGCTGATGATGACAAAAGGTGAGCTCCCAGCAACAGCATGAAATCGCAGCTCCACTCCCTTGCATGCACTTAACAACTCAGCATTTGCAAACTGAGGATTGAAGCTAATTCTCTAACATGTCCTACAGGAGACAAAAGCATTTGCTCTACATCCTACCTACTGAAAAATACATGGCATTTTTCATATCATCTTGTGATGCTGGATGGCAAATATAGCTCTGATGTCTGTGTGCAAGGAGAGAGATGTAACTAGAAGCACACATGTGAAACATCTGCGAGCAGGAGCTACCCTTAGCCTAAGGTGCCTACTTTTTTTGCCTCCATTATTCAGGGTATACTTAGACTCTTAACACCTAGAGGAGGTAGGAAATTACCTGCATACTGTTAAGGCAGTGAGATATTAAGTGCCTTGTCCAAAATGACATGAGAAATCAGAGACAGAGCAAATAGCGGAAGCCAAGGCCTGGAGCTCGTAAATCCTGCTATTGACAGGATCAAGACATGCTCCTGCTCAGCTGATTAAAGATACTTCATAACACAGGGTTAAATATAATGATGGGTGAATTCGTTCTGGCATCATGCCTGTAGCGTATTCCATTTGTGCCTCGTGCCACCATGCAAGGTGGCTTTTAAGCACGGCTAAGCTGTCTTCAAACTTTTGCTCTGTTCTTGCCCACAAGATGGCCAAACATTTAATTGCCTTCAACTGTATTATCTGCAATCTATTTAATCCACAATTTAGGTAAACTATCCACAGATCACTGAAGGACGACTACAGTTTGTGTCTTCCATTTTGCAACAGTAGCTAGGCTCTCATCCAAGTCCTTCCCAACAAGAGTAGAAAGCTCTTTGCTCTCTGATTGCAAGGCCTTGATTACACAGCACATGAAAGCAGTGAAACAAACTCCAAAAAATATTAAAAGTCAAAAAAACATGGTTAGCGTCTTATTTCCGCTCAAAAGAAGTTTACATTTCTTCTCCTTTTCTGCCTTCCTTTACTCATTCTCCCATCAAAGTGTATGCAGCTATATGGTATATATGGAATTGCTGTATTAGATTAAACAAATTGTCTGTCTAGTATAGCAGGCAGCTTCAGAGGAAGATCTTAGAAAGCTGTTTCTAAAGTATGTGGAAAGCAGGAACTTTCTTCCACACCCTATTAATTATATATGGCTAACAAAACATGAAGGCATATTGCTTCCAAAAATGTCATCTTC